ATGTACAAAATATGATGAGTCTGTACTTGTGATTTATCATTCCATTCATATTTTTGGATTTGCATATGCAGGGTGACTGAAAAAAATTAATGAAGGCGTGAATTTATTTTATCGATTTAATCAGGAATTACAAAACCGAATGCTTTGAAATCTTGGGAATATTTTAAAGTTATTATAAGCATGGTAAACTTTTGTTCAAAATGTATTTGTTCATCCCTCCTAAAAAAATTGATGACGTCACCCTTAAATTTTGCTGAATAAATCCTATCTAAAATGCAAAAAATATGATGAGTTTGTACTTGTGATTTATCATTCCATTCATATTTTTTAGATTTTCTTAAGAGGTGGTTCAAAAAAATTAATGAAGTCAATTTATTTTATTGATTAAATTAAAGGCAACACTTATTATTAGTATTACACCCCAACCAACCCAATTTGGTAGACACAAAATTTGTTAAAGGAAAAACTCGGTTGAAACATAAGGGTAGCACGCTTATTTACATCGACTTTAACGTTACAGATCTGCATTTGTTTTATGCGGTCACTTGGTTCCGCGAATGCGAAATAGACATGTTTATAATCAACCAATTGTGAATTTCACCGTCAAGAATTAAAATAAAACCCAATGTTTTATATAATAAGCGGAAGTCGAAGCAATAAAACCGACGGTCGTTTTGTTTACAGTTTCTGTGTTTGGCTCTCACGTATGCTGTTACGCCTGTCATCTTAAATTAACAATGTTTATACATACACGATTTTTAGTTGCCTCTGATACGTAGGTATACGTGAGTAAATTGTTTCGTTATTTTATTGATTATTACAAATCAATATTCAAACGACCCAATTCATTTTCCCGAAAATTTGAGAATATAATAATTTTATTCTTAGTATTGCACTACATCTATCCCAACTGATGTACGTGTCCTTGCAAAAATGTTGATGACGTCATCGCAATTTTTTTTTAAATTCCCACTACAAAAATGTAATGAGAATAAAAACACAATAGGCATGCAGTCGTCAAGTTTCCGACAGCGAGGGAAGTACTGTCTAAACTCTTTAGACCAATTTTTTATTATCAAATTAAGAACGAGTCACCCCATTTTCTTGAAAATGTAAGAATGCGCACGTCTTTATTTAATAATTATAAAACAAGAATTATGATATGTAATAATATTTCGAACATTTTGTTTGATTGTGGGTTAATTAATAATTTTATTTATCTGTTTTGAGGAGACCAACTCATTCAAAGCAAATACATTTCTACGTGACATTTTTTGATGTATAAATATAAACACTTGAAGTTAAATACGTACAATTGTTTTATTATTATTGCTGAGATGATATTTTCCCCCTTGGTTATCTGCTTTAAATCTATTATACATTGTCGCTTTCTATGCGGACCACGCCGCCTTGGAATTTGCACGCCCACGGCACAGGAGCTGAGGGGTGTTTTTATGACGTTGATTTTTACTTTATAGAGGTTATCACAAAACAAATATTGCAAAATCAAAATTTGTAATTTTTCAAAGAAGCGGAAGTTGTTGGACTTGTACTTGAGGCGCCAGAGAAGTTTTGTCGGAATAAACATCGACCAATTTTTATTAGGCACATAAGTAGCAAGTCTGTCAAATTTAGAGGTGTTTTAGGAATATGTAGTTGGTTTAATCTATCATTCCAATAACAGTTTGATGATGTCACCTAAAAATTTTGCTCAGTAAGCGTTATTTAAATTTTACATATTATTCCATTTATGGTTTGTGAGTCCTGCGAATCCGTCTAGATTTTTACCGTAGAAATCCAGATTTTTGGAAAGGACTAAAAATGGTGTGACTACATTTTACAATTTGATTTTGAAACTGCAAAACCGAATGATTTGAAATCTTGGAAACGGTTTAAAGTGATCATAATAAATCGTTCGTTAAAATTGATTGAAGATTTCCTTCGCCCTAAAGTAAAGGGTACCTATTAATTTGAAAAATAACTTGGAGTAGGCGTTGGAATTTCATTAAACACAAACGGCATGTCTATTCTTCTTCTTCAAAGTGGTGTGAAAGAAAAATCACACTAATTTGTGGAAGTTTTGGATTTTTTAATTATTTATTTTAATTATTGTAATTTAATCAATGTTTTTTAAAAATATCCATGTTACTTTTCAGATCCTAGCTTGTAATGACCTGAACATAACTTAGATATTCAATAAATTCGAAACATGTTGTAATCAGTCAGCTTTCTAAAAATCTTCACACGTTCAAGAGGCGGAAAAACAACTCAAATAAACTACACTTGAACTAGAATGAATCTCCAAAAATTTATTTTTAACTTATAAGGGGGCTCAAAAAAAGTTCTGGAAAAATAACCTTCGATCAACTTTTTAAAATTGTTTATACAGGGTGACTGAAAGAATTAATGAATGAGTCAATTTTTTGATTGATTTAATCAGGAACTGCAAAACCGAATGCTTGGACGTTTTAAAGTTATTGTAAACATGGTAAATTTTTAATCAAAATATATCTTCTCCCAAAATTGATGACGTCATCACAAAATTTTGTAAAGGAAAAATTCATTTGAAACATACGTGTAGCACGTTTCTTTACTTTTACTTTAGCATTACGTACATATCTTTATTTTATTTATAAGGGTTCTGTTTAAAAAACAAGTAATAAAATTTGCAAAATCAAATTTTACAATTTTTCGAAAAACATATAAAGGGTGGCCCAACTAAAACGAAACAGACGGGACCGTAGGCGCTGTACTTGATTATGAGAAAAGTGTCGATTTTTGTTGCAAAGGGGACGTATAACGTTACTATTTTCGTTATTTTACCTTCACCCAGGAACGAGGCCTGGCTATCAAGTCAAAAGTCTTAAATGGCACTATGGGTCAAAAAGCATCTTGTGTCGAAGTCCTATTAATTTTTTTTCTAACAGGATAAGAATTTTTTAAATCGGTGGATTGGTTCCTGAGAAATTGTATTATGAAAAATCAATAAAATTTCATCTCTTATCACCTCTTTTTACTTATTCGTTAAGAATGTCAACGTAATACATATTGAAATTGTCCTCCAGAAAAAAGTAACGTTATACGTACCACTTGAATAAAAAATCGACGTGTTCGAGTATTTTTCATATAAGCAAGGACAGCGCCTACGGTTCCATCTGCTTCCTTTTATTTGGACCATCCTGTATATATGTCTTATTGTACTTCGAGGGCGAGGTAATTTCTGTTAAAGTAGTTTTCGAACAATTTTTTCTTTCTCAAGGGTTCATGAAACGTTGAGAAAACATAAAAGTACTTGGTTTGGACCCAATTACAATTCTGCCTTGGTTTACGGTTTTTCAAGCTTCTCCAAGTAGGGGAAGAAAAAATTAATCCAACAACATAGTCCTTAAATATTGGTGCACCATTTTTAAGCAAAATGTAACATGCGCCACATTTAAGCAGATATCATTGGGTAACCTTGTAGTGCACAGCCACACAGGAAATCGAAAATACTGTTGGCTACACTTATCTGTAAATGTTATTATTTGTTGAGGAATAGTAATGACGCACATGCAATATATTCTTTGTTACATTGTGATTATTTTTCTTTCCGACAAAGATGAATTTAGTTGTAGGAATATGAGAAACTTGTTTATAAATGGCACCAAACATTTTTCTACTGTAACATGAATAATGGGTTTTACATTTATGGACCTGTTTGTATTATCCATTTCAAATAATGACTAAAAAAAAATCGTTTACTTTTTTTAAAACACTGCTCACAGCTTTTGTTATCGTAACGTGTATTTTCAAAGTTGATTCACTATTATAATATATTGCACACTTAATCTTGTTTCTCTTAATTTATAGCTAGGTGCTGTGCAAGGACATTTTTCGCGAATTTTCCAAAGTACTTAACTTGGACAATAACAGAGGGAAGATGTGCATACAGCATATAGATATTTGATAATTTAATTAATTCAATCACGCTCTAATTTTAGGAGATTAACAAACATAAACATCGAGTTTAACGTACCATGTTGTTAAGATTTGCACAAATATTATTGGAAAGCTGGTGTACAAAATTAACTTAATAGCTTACACTTGGGCGTGTGTTTCAGAACCGTAATGGTGAATATTGCGTTAAAGGTTTTTTGGGTTGTATGCTTTTATTACAATACAAATAATGTCGGAAAACATGATAAAAATATGTAATTAAAATGCAAATAGGTTTATTCGCTGAAGCTAACAAGATTCGGATGTACAGTGAAAACCAGTGTCCCAATCGTGTAACATGTTCTCATTTCCGACCCAATGCGGACTCGACCGAACGATAGCAGTATTTTCCTATTTTCAACCCTACCTCCGCTAACGATACAATGCTAGTTATTTGTACAAAAAATGTCTCTTAATAGTTGTCTAAGTAGTTGTAATGATACAACTGAAAGACTAAGAATCTCGTCAAGGTTAGTTCAAAATCTAAAGCCTCGTTTCCAATCACTTATGCTTATATGTACTTAATAATTATTATAATTGTAAAATTGACATTTGTAACTACGTAGATGCCGAATCGAATTATACTTAACACTTTATGTGCCTACTTGTATAGTCGCCTCACCACTTTAAGAAACTTTGACTAAAGTTAGAAATCATAACGACAAAGAAAACCGTCGGGTTTAAGTAATTTACCACAGTAAATTAGCTTAGGCCAACCACCTGCCTGCGATAACCTTAATTCACCCCATCCCTTTATCTCTATGTATTTCATTGGAATAATAATATTTATATTAACATTATCGCAGATAGGTGTTTGTCCTAAGCTACTTACTGTGGAAAAAACTGGATTTGTTCGATTCTATTTAACGGGCGAGGGAAGTTCTGTACGCAAATAGGATTGGACTAATTTTTTAAATTAATTATTAATTGCATACTAAAAGCACTGAACACTTGAGTAGTAACATAGTTGTCACTAAATTGTTCAAATTGAGTATTCTCTAATTGATGGTTATTTTTGTTTATAGGTAAAAAGCTGCCTGTGGAAAAATGGGATGCTTCGGCAGCAAAGACAAGCTTTCCAAGGAGGATATGGATTTTTTGAAATCACATACTCGTTATGACGAAAGTACAATAAAAGAATGGTATAAAGGTTTTAAGGTGAGTTTTTATTAATATAGCACCAATCGAGTTTTATACGGGACATATTTACGCGATTTAGCATATCAAAGTTTTTGATGTAGAAAGAGGTAAAAATAGTTATTTGTGTAAGTTTGGTAGGATGAATCAGGAATATTGTGTTCCAACGAAAGATTATATCTTATATAATTTTAACGATTTTATAATGCGGTTTTACAAAAATAGTTGTAAAAGAACAACTTGATAATTTTAAGCAATATTCCGGTTAGTGGATACCATACATATACAAAACTCATTGAATATGCCTTAGTTAGCAGAAGCAGATCTATTTTCAGTAATATTTAACTTTTCGTTATTCTGCTTAAGACTAAGTTATAAATTAAAACGTTTGTAATATTCTAATAAGTTTTTACTTCCCGAGCGTAAGCAAAGGAAGTATTGTAATCGAGTCCGTCGGCCGACTCTCTACTTTTACGTTTTCTCGATCTCTCATGACCCCTAGAAGACGAAGAAATAGGTCTCCCATTTCCGTCTGTCTGTCCGTCTGTCCGTCCGTCTGTCCGTCCGTCTGTCCGTCCGTCTGTCCGTCCGTCTGTCCGTCCGTCTGTCCGTCTGTCCGTCTGCCTCCGGATTTTTATTAGACAGATAATCTCCGAAAGTACTCGACCGATTGTTGTGAAATTTTGTACTTATATTAAGAATATCATGTAGATGGTAAAACGCTAACCAAAATTTGTCTAATCATCCCCACCACTAATGCGATGACGTCACTTCAAAATTGCACATAGTAAATGGGTTTTCAATTGTATAAAATAACATAGTCCTACACATGTAGTTTACAACTCTGAATCGACTTTTCACCCGAAACGTCCAGATTTTTGGAAAAAAAATCAAAATTATAAAACAACATTTTGAAATTTAATTTTTAATCTGCTAACCAGAATGCTTTGAAATGTTGCAGATGTTTTAAGGCTATAAAGAGCATCATAAATCTTTAGTCAAAAAATATTTGCTTATCCCCTCCAAAAACTTGATGACGTCAGCTCAAAAGTTTGTGGAATAAATCATATCTAAAATGTACAAAATATGATGAGTCTGTACTTGTGATCTATCACTCCATTCATATTTTTTGGATTTGCATATACAGGGTGACTCAAAAAAAATAATGAATGCGTAAATATATTTTATTGATTTAATCAGGAACTACAAAACCGAATGCTCTGAAATCTTGCAGATGTTTTAAGGTCATAAAGAGCATAATAAATGTTTCGTCAAAATATATTTGCTTATCCCCTCCAAAAACTTGATGACGTCAGCTCGAAAGTTTGCCGAATAAATCATATCTAAAATGTACAAAATATGATGAGCCTGTACTTGTCATTTATCACTCCATTCATATTTTTTGGATTTGCATATACAGAGTGACTCAAAAAAATTAATGAATGCGTAAATATATTTTATTGATTTAATCAGGAACTACAAAACGGAATGCTCTGACATCTTGCAGATGTTTTAAGGTTATAAAGAGCATAATAAATGTTTAGTCAAAATATATTTGCTTATCCCCTCCAAAAACTTGATGACGTCAGCTCGAAAATTTGCCGAATAAATCATATCTAAAATGTACAAAATATGATCAGTCTGTACTTGTGATCTATCACTCCATTCATATTTTTTGGATTTGCATATACAGGGTGATTCAAGAAAATAAATGAAAGCGTAAATTTATTTTACTGATTTACTCAGGAACTACAAAACCGAATGCTTCGAAATCTTGAAGATATTTTAAAATTATCATAAGCATGGTAAATTTTTGATCAAAACGTATTTGGTCGTCCCCCCTAAAAAAATTATGACGTCACCACAAAATTTTGCTGAATAAATCCTATCTAAAATGTACAAAATATGGTGAGTCTCTTCTTGTGATTTATCATTCCATTCAAATTTTTTCGATTTGCATATACAGGGTGACTCAAAAAAATTAATGAATGCGTAAATTTATTTTATTGATTTAATCAGGAACTACAAAACCGAATGCTTTGAAATCTTGCAGATGTTTTAAGGTTATAAAGAGCATAATAAATTTTTAGTCAAAATATATTTGGTTATCTTCTACAAAAAACTGATGACTCAGCTCAAAAGTTTGCCGAATAAATCGTATCTAAAATGTACAAAATATGATGAGTCTGTACTTGTGATTTATCATTCCATTCATATTTTTGGATTTGCATATGCAGGGTGACTCAAAAAAATTAATGAAGGCGTGAATTTATTTTATCGATTTAATCAGGAATTACAAAACCGAATGCTTTGAAATCTTGGGAATATTTTAAAGTTATTATAAGCATGGTAAACTTTTGTTCAAAATGTATTTGTTCATCCCTCCTAAAAAAATTGATGACGTCACCCTTAAATTTTGCTGAATAAATCCTATCTAAAATGCAAAAAATATGATGAGTTTGTACTTGTGATTTATCATTCCATTCATATTTTTTAGATTTTCTTAAGAGGTGGTTCAAAAAAATTAATGAAGTCAATTTATTTTATTGATTAAATTAAAGGCAACACTTATTATTAGTATTACACCCCAACCAACCCAATTTGGTAGACACAAAATTTGTTAAAGGAAAAACTCGGTTGAAACATAAGGGTAGCACGCTTATTTACATCGACTTTAACATTACAGACCTGCATTCTGCATATAATAAGCGGAAGTCGAAGCAATAAAACCGATGGTCGTTTTGTTTACAGTTTCTCTGTTTGACTCTCACGTATGCTGTTACGCCTGTCATCTTAAATTAAGAATGTTTATACATACACGATTTTCAGTTGCCTCTGATACGTATACGTGAGTAAATTGTTTCGTTATTTTATTGATTATTACAAATCAATATTCAAAACGACCCAATTCATTTTCCCGAAAATTTGAGAATATAATAATTTTATTCTTAGTATTACACTACATCTATCCCAACTGATATACGTGTCCTTGCAAAAATGTTGATGACGTCATCGCAATTTTTTTTTTAAATTCCCACTACAAAAATGTAATGAGAAAAAAAACACAATAGGCATGCAGTCGTCAAGTTTCCGACAGCGAGGGAAGTACTGTCTAAACTCTTTAGACCAATTTTTTACATTTTAAATACTGCACGGTACTGATATGAAGTACTAAAATCAAATTGTAAGTATTTTCACATCAGGTGGCGTTTCGTAGTTATTTTTTCCTTAAATATTGTACACGGGTATGAGAATTAAATTCTGAAATTTTGACACATTAAAATCCGTTAAGATAAAATAACTGCAGATATTTTAATAAACAGTTTTGTCTTGCAAAATGGTAGTTAGATTTCAAGGTGGATTTAAAGATGATGTGTCACACGCAATTTTTCTTTGATATGTTATTAAATTAGTCTTTAGATACTTCCCGAGCATTAATCTCTGGAAGTACTGTAATAGTGTCCATCGGGCGACTGGTTAGTTTCATGTTATCTCCGCCCGTTCGTCTGTCTGTCTGTCTGTCTGGCTGCCATCTCTCGTTGGTGTTGATTTTTATTAAAGAGATAAAATTTGAAACTACCGGACCGATTGTTGTCATATTTTATACACCAACGCAACGATGGGATGACGTCATTTCCAAATTTTACAGTACATAGTAAATGTTATTTATAACATACTCTTGCGCTCGTGGTTTAGAACCCATGTTGAGTTTTTATCCTAATCATTCAAATTTTTGAGACAAAATCAAAATTTATAACATTTTACAATTTAATTTTGTAATTGCAAAGCCTAATGTTGTTAAATCTTTCATCTTGTTTTAAGGTTATCGGTACATGGTAAATCGAATGAAAGTTTGTCCGTCTATAATATGCAAAACATTATGATTCTATCTATACTGGCGGATTATTAAAGCATTCATATTGTTTTGGCAGTGGCGGAGTATGGGTGATTTATTAAAGTATGATCCGTTGATGAAGTCAGAAAACTCTCTCTTATAAGAATCTCAAAAAATTAGTCTAAAGAGTTTAGACAGTACTTCCCTCGCTGTTGGGAACGTGACGACTGCAAGCCTATGAAGTCTTTTTTGTATTACATTTTTGTAATTCTTGATTTAATCAATAAGATTAATTGACTTAGTCATTAATTTTTTTCATACACCCTGTATAAGCAGATCTAAAAAATATTAATGCAGTGATAAATCACCAGTATAGACTCATCATTCTTTACACATTTAAGCATTTTTTCAGCAAATTTTGCGGCGGTGTCATCAAATTTTTAGGGGGGGATGAGCAAATACATTTCGATCAAAATTTTATCATGCTTATGATAAATTTAACATCTCCAAGATTTCAAAGTATTCGGTTTTGTAGTTCCCGATTAAATCAATAAAATAAATTCACACTTTCATTAATTTTTTTGAGTCACCATGAATATGCAAATCCAAAAAATCTGAATGGAATGATAAATCACAACTTCATACTCATCATATTTTGCACATTTAAGATAGGATTTATTCAGCAAAATTTTGAGGTGACGTCATCAATTTTGTAGGGGGGATAAGTAAATATATTTTGATTAAAAATGTATCGTGCTTGTCATAACTATAAACCATCTGCAAGATTTCAAAGTATTCGGTTTTGTAGATTTAAAATTAAATTGCAAAATATTGTTTCATAATTTTGATTTTTTTTTTCCAAAAATCTGGACGTTTCGTGTAAAAACTCAATTCGGAGTCATAAACTACATGTGTAGGACTATGTTATTTTATACAATTTAAAACCCATTTACTATGTACAATTTTAAACTGACGTCATCGCATTAGTGGTGGGGACGATTAGACAAATTTTGGTTAGCGTTTTACCATCTACACGATATTCCTGACATAAATACAAAATTTCGCAACAATCGGTCCAGTACTTTCGGAGATTATCTGTCTAATAAAATTCCGGGACGGCAGACAGACGGAAACGGGAGATCTATTTCTTCGTCCTCTAGGGGTTATGAAAGGCCGAGAAAACGTA